CAGGCAAGGCCGAATGGGGTGGTCAGTGTATGCTGTGGATGGGGGGATGAAATGAATATTGGCCATTTGAGTTTTGGGTGTTTGGTGGTGTTGCATCGCTTGTCTCTATCGCCGTCAGCAGGCGCCACCCCTTCCTTACCCGGGACCACCTTTAGGCCACCAACAGTCGGAAGCATGATTACCGAATACAGCCAGGAGCAAGGAAAATAAAATCTGGCTTCGTTGGTGAAATTGTACAGATTTTTTGCATTGGCGTTATTAGATCTCGATGGGCGACCGCCTACTCGAGTGAGATGTTGTACAATCCAGCCGATTCCCGCACTCAAGGAAGAAGCAGTTGGCGTTGACAATCCTATGTATCTAACAATTCTCTTTACACAAAGCCAACAAGCCTCATAGACAATCCATAGAGGCATTCAAGAGGAGGGGTAGCATTGTGACAACTGGCTACGCTATCTGAGTTTTCATTGGCTCAGTTATCAGGGCGAAATTGCACGGAGGTCGTGGAATTTACGTCTATGTTGGCCGTGGCTATGTTTGATGAAGCATATGTGTACACTCTCGTTCATAGCACAGGTCCCTCACACCTTGCCAGTCGACTACGTCCGTGGTGAGATTTATAGACTACGCTGGCTGTGCTAAAAAGTGCTGTGGACGCAGGGGAACCTCCTCGAACGCCCCATTATTGTAGGTAGGGCAGGCAAGTTCCCAGCAGGGAGGCGGTCACAGCAATCCCATAACGCCGTAAGGACGGTGGAACCCACACAAGCCACTGAGAACGGTTGAGGGAGTCGTTCGAGGCCTTGGTCATATATTGTCTATAATACAAGCTCCATGAAGTTGAGTCAAGCAAGTTTACCGGGGTCATCCCAGCTCCAGCCACATCAGAGCTTGAGAATGGGCACTTTCTCCAATTCCAGGTTCTTGATGTAAACTCCCATGTGAGTGCAACATCAGAAGCCCCGGTAAGGGTTCGAGTCCACCGAGCTGGATGAGTCTTTTCACCCCTTTTTATTAATGATGAATCGTGCAGTGCTCCTCTTGTTGGCCAGCAAGCGGGTGGATGTCAGTACGAAGTTATTCATGCAGAGATAACATTTAGAACTCCAACAACAAGTGTATACCTTTGAAGAGGATTCTGTGGTTTACCCGACTTATGGCGGCATGCATGACTCCTTCTGAACGGCTTGACAGTGTCATTTTGAACCACGGCCTTTTTGAAGGGCGGCTGAGGATGGTTTTTCGATCCCTTACCGACGAAGCCTATGGACTTCCACTTGTTCGTCAATCCTCCACTAACGATCTAGAATATGATCTGACTTGCTGCAATGGTGTTGGCTGGGTAAATCTCTTTCCATTTGGTGACCAGCTCTATAATGTGACCAAGCAAAGATTCAAGGTCCATCGCGATTCTCGAGAATACGTCCTCACGACCCGTTGTTATAAATTGATACAATTACCATTATCAGGCCCGGGGACTCTCCACCAGTTTCATCCCTTCATCACTACTGGGAGCCAGTTATTGGCGGTGGGATGACTCCAATGGCGTTGACTGGTATGGGTCCTGAAGTGGACATTACTCCCATTCAAGCTGAAATTGTCCAACTTTGCCAGTCCGCATTCGCAGGCCCCTATACTAAGAGGGGAGGTAAGATGATCAAATACCTCGATTGAACTAGAGTCCTACTGCGATGGGCTTACGTTCAGAATTCCCTTACAACATTCAAGCTCTTTGGTGTCCCCGTGTGCTTTTCACGCAAGCGTGAGGAGTCTCGAAACGCCTCTAGGCGGCGGTTCAAGTACAACGGAGCAAGTACAGCGGGGCGAGCTGCTTTCTGCTTACTAACCGTCGACATTTCTTGGTGGTTTTGACTAACAGCCCAACATGAGAGAAGTGTAGACTGGCTTCGCTCAGAAGAGGAGCCAATGAGTCAATGCCATTCCTGCCTCTCCATCATGATTTGGTGATTGTAATCAGTCACTGCTGGGAGTCGCGCTATCCATGATTAGACACACGTTGGCTACTCTCGGCAGCGTCGGACCATGGTAGAATAGATGGGAAGATGGAGGTGGTCTCTGGTCGATTGAGTCGGGGGTCAGCAGCCCCGACCGGGTACTTCAGCCACAACAAGCCGCAGCAGCACGGGCATTAGTCACTCCCAGCGCAAGTGCCAACTGGATTATGAGAGGGATTGAGGCGCTGGGAACAACAGTTTTCCCGAGCTCCACCTCAGCCATCACCGCCCAGAACAGCTCCATGCCAAGCCGCTTCGGTGGCATGGAGCAGGTGCCTGTGTCTTGCAGCAAAGCCCGCCATCGAGCACAGCAAAAAGACGCGTAAACCATCGTCCTAGAAAGCCCCGGAGCTGCCATGCCATGCTGAGGGCGCCGCAGCGTATATATTATTGGTAGACCTACTCTTGCACCGGAAGCCTCCTTCAGCATCCCAATATTCTTACCCCTACCTACCCGCAACTGGCGCCATAATAACCTGGCACCTGGGTGCTGACAGCCCGCCATGTCCATCAGAATATCTCTTGAAAATAAGCCCGAATTCTACACCAATCTTGATTATGTGTCTGGCAGAATCATCCTGAATCTCAACAAAGCCGAGGCCATTGGCAGCATCGTCGTGAAGCTCGAGGGCGAGGCCATCACCGCCCTGCAGGTCCCTCACCCTCATCAAGATGGCGGGGCGCAGAGGCAAGGACCTCCCCCAGGCCCTCCTGGCACCGTTGTGAGCGAGAACCACAAACTGCTCTACAAGGTGCAGCAGGTCTTTCCCGATGAGTACTACGCCAGCGGCAACAGCCCCTACGGCGCATATCCGCTCCAGCCTGGTGAACATGAGTTTCCCTTCCAGTTCAAGCTACCCATCAACAATGCATGCAGTGACCCCATGGCCATGTCCAAGATTGGGGGCATTGGCGGAGTAGGCGGCTTTGGATCTGGAGGCGGTCTCTTTGGAGGTGGCTTCAGGGTAATGGACGGGAGCAAGCAGCTGTATCTCAAGCATGTCACCAAAACGTTGCCGCCGTCCGTGACTGGTTTCCCCATGGAAGCCGAGATCAGGTATTATCTCAAGGTTACAGTCCAGCGGCCAGGCCTCCTCAAAGAGAATTGGCGTCATCAGCTGGGATTCAAGTTCCTCCCCATTGAGCCCCCTCGACCTCAAAAGACCGGCCAAGAGGGCTTCGCTCGCCGGCCATTCACCTTCAAACCCAAGACACCACTTCCAACAGAGAAGAAGTTCAGTTCCATGTTTAAAAAGAGCGAACCATCCGACGGCGCTGATTCTGCCCAGCCTCCGTCTATCGAGATCGCAGCAAGAATACCCCACCCGCCCATCCTGACTTGCAACCAGCCCATACCTCTGCGTTTAATCGCCAAGAAGCTCGTACCGAGCCCCGAGGAAGTGTTTCTTGTTTCATTCGAGATGATTCTCCACGGCATCACAGAAGTGCGATGCCACAACATCTACAACCGGAGGGTCAACAAATGGGTCGTGGCATCAAATGCGCAACTCAACGTGCCCCTGACATCCTCACCGGAAGACGAGGTTGGACATGAGACAATTTTACCCGACGATTTATGGAAGGACATGGCCCTGCCAAACACCGTGGCCCCTTCCTTCGTGTCATGTAACCTGGTTCGAAGATACGAATTGGAAATCAAACTTGGTGTGGCGTGGGGGCAGCCCGGCAAGTCGAACAAGACTTTCGGACGAGACTCACCCATGCCCCCCGTCATATATCTTCCTCTGCACTTCAACAACGTCGAAGTATACTCTGGCATCAAACCACCGGCCGAGTTGCTCGAGGCCGCGAGGAACTCACAGCCAGGACGGGCAACATTCGGCATGGGACCTCGGCTGCCTCCTCGGACTAACACGCAATCAGAGGCAGGGCCTTCTCGACCTCAGCCTCGGCCTGCAGCCCAGGCAGCGCAGTCGTCACAACAAGCGCCGGCCCACCCACCGACCTACAACCCGCTTTATCCTCCGCAGCTGGCAGCTGACAACCCCGATGCTGCGTACGACGACGCACCGCCCAGCTACGATGAAGCTGTAGCAGAGAATCTGGCAGGCCCGTTCGATGGATTCCAGGAACGGCCAGCATACAGCGGGGTAACCAATGAGAACGCCCCTAGCCAGATGCCTGGGGAAAAGAATTGAGCCGGCGGCATAGTCCTGTAAAAGAATTCAGAGACTATTCCCGTGTGGGATATAATCTCATTTGTATAAGCCAAAAGTGGTAACATTAGTAAAATGTGCCGAAATCGGCCATCGGCATATCATTACCGTAGTTCATGGTTCGGGTGTACATTGTCAGGGCTTTGATACCAAGTCAGGGATTGCCAGCTCTAAAGGCTTGATGAATGTCATCAGGAACTGGAGTATGTCGAGGAACGGGGTCACAATCTCTGTGTAGATAGAAGAAGGGCAGCAGCATAGCGTTTGGCGCATGGACAAGGTCTTGGTATTTGCGGACGACCTAATGATAGGATGACACGTTTGAAACGAAATAGAAAGACCGGGATGCAAAAGAATACCCTATATTCATATGAAAATCATTTACGATAAAGAAGAAATGTGTCTTGGTACGGAAGTTCGGGTATGTTTAACGTCGACTTCCTTGGGACAGTTTATAGAACAATATGAATGTATCCAGAAGCCATTGTCGGTCTGTCGGGGAAATCATGGGTACTTTTTGACCATAGAAACTGCAGTGATAGTAAATAACAAACCATTCATAGCAATTATTGAAGAATCTGTTGATCAATAGGCCAATAGTTGTCGAAATTCATTAATGTCTCTGGTTGGTGTGCTATGCTTGACTTAACTCATTTGATAGTCCCAGCGCAAAGTCCACCCTAAGACCAATGACGTCAGTGGATCAACACAAACCCTGGCTGCTGTCACATCATTGTGTTGCGCAAAATTCAAGACCTTCAAATATGCGCCTTAGATCCCCTCACCGAAGAGAACTGGCTCCTCAGAGATGAGCTCACGCCTTGCTCATCATGGCGTCCGCATTGGCTTCAACCCACAAATCATCACAACAACACTAAAAACTAATTGTCCGCTCCAAAAGCGACAACATGTAGGACAGCGACGATGGTACAGTAGTCGGGATGTTGACCCTCGGATCAAAGCCCTCGGGAGGACAATCCTCGACGACTACGCCGCTGTCCGCGAAGAATACGGTACACCCCAAACCTCACGGCCGTGACCGCCATCCACAAATACCAGCAGCTAACCACCAGCCCAGCCACGCCGACCTACCCCATCGTCCTTGCCCACGGCCTCCTCGGCTTCTCCGAGATCAAGCTCGCCCAAGCCCTCCCATCCCTCCAGTACTGGCATGGCATCCAGGACGCCCTCGAGCAGGCCGGCGCCACCGTCATCACCGCCACCGTGCCCCCCTCGAGCAGCATCGAGCAGCGCGCCGCCAGCCTCCGCGACCAAATCGCCGCCGCGCGCCCCTCCGCCGTCAACATCGTCGCCCACTCCATGGGCGGCCTCGACGCCCGCTACCTCGCCTCCCGCCTCCTGGGCCCCGACTTCTCCTCCCCCTCCCCCCCGTTCGCCATCAAGAGCATCACCACCATCGCCACCCCGCACCGCGGCAGCCACTTCGCCGACTTCCTCATGTCCGACTCGGCGCCCATCCACCTCCCGCGGCTCTACGGCCTCATCGAGCGCGCGGGGTTCGGCACCCAGGCCTTCAGCCAGTTGACGCGCGAGTACATGACGGGAACGTTCAACGCGACGGTGCGGGACCGCGACGACGTGCGCTACTTCTCCTACGGGGCCATGACGGACGAGCCCGCGCTGCTCAGCCCGTTCCGCCAGCCGTGGCGGCTGATCGAGCAGGCCGAGGGCCCCAACGACGGGCTCGTGAGCGTGGAGAGCAGCCGGTGGGGGGCGTACAAGGGGACGCTGGTGGGCGTGAGTCACTTGGACCTGATCAATTGGTCAAACAGGGTGCGCTGGACGGTGAGGGAGTGGATGGGTGTCAAGAGGACGTTTAACGCGATTGCGTTTTACCTAGACATAGCCGACATGCTGGCCAAGGAGGGATTATAGGCGTGATTGAGAGATTGGGGTGGAGCAGGGCGTTGTATGGAGCAGGGTGTGTTGGAGTGTGCATCTTGTGTAAATTGGTGCATATATAAGCGATGGGATGCAGACATGGAAGAGTACAGGACGACTGTTCACCAGTGTAAACATAGACAACACGATTCACCATCACCAAAGGTACAATATTCATTAGTAGAAAGTTCATGATTGCGTTGCTAGGAACAAAATAGGTATCGTAGTACTAGAAAAATAAAGCTGGTTGGTGGTGGCTTCCAACGCAATTGAAAGCTGTGCGCCTTAAACCTTGTGGGTTTGGACGACACAGCCTTCGAGCCAGGGGTAGAACAGATCTCATCCCTCCCCTGGTGGCCATCAACCGGGATCCCGCTCACTGGGCCGAGTAGAAATTATGACGACGAAGGGTTGTGATGAAGAGTCGGATTAAGTGTCTTAGGAGTGTAAGGACCAGTGAAACGGGCGGGAGACCAGTCTTCGTAGCTGTCTCCCAGGGCCAGGCCAATGTAGAAAGCGCACCACAAGTCGCGTAGATATAACACCATTTCCGCCGTTGTCATAGGAAGAATCGGACCGTAACAACGTGCAATTCAATCACCCTCCACACATCCACTTGCTCTCTGCCTTCGCCAACACCTGCTTCTCTCTCACATGGCCAGTTTAGAAAGTGGCCTTAGCATTCCTGCGCTTCAGCATGGCCTTGTAGATCCACAGGCCAATGAGGAAGATTGCAACTGTGAGACAAGGTTAGATTAGATGAGCGTTTAAGGTTCGGCGCGTGACCCTCGGACACGAGAGACATATCGGATGGGGAAAGTTACATACCAACACCAACGATGCAAAAGACAACCATGACACCTTTGTTCTCAGCAGCCCAGTTTGATCGCTTGGCAAGGGCGACCAGCTCGCGGGCGACAAGGGGCTTGATGGCGGCCATTGTGAAGAGTCAAGCGAAGAAAGTATGGGGACTGGTAGAAATTCATGTTAGCGCGTCTGGACGTTGCGGAAATGAACGAGTTTGTCCCAATTCAGCCAATTGTCAATTGATTCGATGCACCAAATGACGACAGGCGGATTGCTTCAACCAATGTCTTGAACCGTGCCCGAGCCACCAGCATGATCCAGCCGTCACACTGTGCTTGGGCGACGCGGTGGCCTTCATTCTCTGGGCGCCGAGGAAGAATTCCTTTTCAATTGACTACCCAGGATAGAAGGTCGGTTCCGCGAACCCTCGCGGCTCTTGAGGACTTGCTGACATGGAGAAAAAAAAGTCAAGCGAGAGAGCAAAGCCGAGGCTGTCGCGCCACGGCGATGGCGGTGGATTGGCTGTAACGCGGGACGATTCTGGGCTGACAAGGCCAGGGACAAAAGGCGATTGAGCAAGAGGGAGCGAAGCGTACCTTTGCTTAGGAACTTGGTGAGAGAGAAGCGGGAGGTCTGAGGGTGATGGGAGGCAGGTGAGAGAAGCAAAGCAGAAGAGAGAGTAGGAAAGCCAGCAAAGATGAAGGGCTCGGCCACGGTTTTGTTGATCAGCCTGCCGCCTGCGCAGTAAAAAGGCCGCTCTTCTGAACGCAAGCTAAAGTCCAGAGCATGTACACTTTTAGTGGAGCCGGGTGCCCACACTGTACGTCACGGGCGAACCAGGGCGACCTGCTAGCACATTGAAGCTATGGACATGGCCAGTACCGGGTGCAATCCATGGCTCGCGCCGGGGTTCATCAACCGGTACCAGAGCAAGAGCGAGGCGCGAATAGCACAGCAGGCCTCCCACGGCGGGAGGGCGGGTCCCGGTTAGCACCGCCAATTTGGCACGCACCATCTGCCCCTACTGGGAAGCGTGCTGCCATGTTGACGGACATGAAACGGAGGCGACTGTGAGGCAATAACTGCAAGTTCGCACAGGCCGTGCTGCTCATTTGGGCCTGATCGGCCTTATTCCCATTGCGATTGGCGAGCGTCCTGAAGCTGGCCCAATTGGTATCAGTGGTCGACATGCGACACCTTGCTCATCAACAACTTCTGTGGCAAGCCAAGTGAGTCTAAGTAATTTCTTACCCAACACAAGCTGCGTTGGCGAGTCACCACATGTGCCAACAAGTAAAGTACGTGTACATGTATTGGAATTGACTCGTAGGTGCCCATAATGAGTGAATTACCGTCCGGCGAAATCTCCAGCAGCGATAAGATAGATTCAACAGCTGGCTGTATATCCTCGGAGGAAGATCGCCCAGGAGGTCCCTGATTCGTGCCAGGAGGCAGTTCGGGAGCAACGGCACCTGATAATTGTCGCGGTGAGCGACGGGGTACCTACATAAGACAGGCTTCGTGTGCTGCCGAAGGAGGCGACGAGTGAAAAATTGGCACTTTTTTTTCGCTCACACCAAACAAGCGTGACGCCGCCGCCGCAGACATTGCTGTTGCGCGAATTTTGGGGCCGCCTGCTTACAGCGGGAACAGTCAGGTACCTGGCGTGGTACCTCGCTTGGTCCGTGGTGCTCGCCCAAGTACAGCTCAGGTAGCGCCGCCCACTAGGTTGCCTGGGCAGTACCGGGTCCGGGCAGCCCCATTCCTAATCCGAATCCACCCCCCACGCTAGACGATTCTACGCCCGAGCTGCGATAGACATGGAGGAGTCCAGGGAGATTGCGACAGGGTCCCGGCCAGGAACTAAGATTCGTGCAAATCACTCGGGAGCAGATGTGCTTGAGGCGCAACTTGGCTGGCTTTTCTGTCTCAAAGCTAAAATGCGCGCGCACCTAAAAACGACCGCGACGACAGCAATTGCCATCCGGGACGGTCGGATCGAGGTCCGCGCGGCGCTCTCGTGGCTTTTCACTTCTATCAGGGTACAAAGTCTAAAACACAGCACGCAAAGCATTGCCATACCCTGTAGAAAGAAGAAAAAAAACTTGTCGCATCCTTGACCCCGGATTCAAGTCGCGATCATTCTATGACAAGGTGGCCCCACCAGCCCGCATACCCCCAACTGCACACTCGCTCCGACTCTAGCCTGCAAGGGTGTGGGCTGCCTTGTGCCGAACAGTGGCCGCCCCAGCCAATAATTGAAGGCAATTGGCAATCGCTGGCCGACTGTCGAACCTGGAGCGCGACAAACAGAGACCGTAGGTGCGCCGTAAGCCATCGTCAATGCCGGGTTTCCCCAAATCTCTCACCCAACCGGCGCCTCCGGGTTACTCCAACCACCATCCAAACACGCCGTCACCCACATCCCACGGCTCTCCAGACCCCTACATTCGCATTCGCGACTGAGCCAACACTGGCTCGGTTTACCCACCCTGAATCGTAGCATAAAACCCTCACCAAGATTGTCGGCTCAGGCACACGATACCGGTCGCCACAAGCGCGACAGTATTCCCGTGCTTTCACCGTTTGCGGCCACTTCCTTTTAAATCTGACTGAGAAGAGCACCGGCAGCCCACCCACCATCCGTTCCCTTGCGTTATCACGAGACATTATCACAGCTTGTTTTTGTGCGACAATGCATTTTCAGCCATTCCTCCCTCCAGGTCATCTGGCCCCCTTTGCGGAGAGTCAACAGGTGGGTGCCTTTAATTGGGAGCGCCCATCATACTACGCCTTCATTATACCTGGCTCCGATCCTGCGACGCCAAGGAAGCAAGGCTGCCACTTATCTCGCTCAAAGTACGACACTCAGAAATGACATTAACGATGGGTGGGCTCTGGTGCACGTTCATGATCTATCGAGCTGGGCGGGTCCAGAGCCTCCTGTCGCTATGGCAATTACAGCGATTTCCATCCAGCGTCCCAGCTCAACCCGGGTGGTCGGCCCCGGCAAAATCGGCGATGCCTAAGGCCACATCCCATCCATCGTCGTACGGTGATCTTGCTCGGTGGGTGCCTTCCTTGTCTCTGCGCACAGGCAAATGAGGGTACCAGCCGGGTACCCAGAGTCGGTAGCACCTGCCCATGTGTCCCTCTTCACAGTGTATATACTATAAACACTGTCAACCGGCACTGTCAGATGATGCAGTGACGTGAATGCCGTGTGATGCCTGTTGTACAACCTCGACTTACCGCCTTGGGATAGCTCCCTGTCGCCAAACCTCCCAGCATCTATCCCAATATCTGAACCGGACGCACGTCTGTTTCGATACCGCCTCACCTTTGTACACACCGCCGGTTTACGTAGACGAAACGGCCATGGCTGGGATTATTTCCAGACTTCGTCGTCTCAACGAGAATAATGTCGCAACTTTCCGCCGTGCACCCCTCACCGAGGTCTCGGGCTCTCTGGGCGATCTTGGCACATTGCTACCTCTCATGATCGCCCTGGCCATTCAAGGCTCTATTCAGCTCAGCACAACCCTTGTATTTACAGGTATCTTCAACATCTTGACGGGTGCTTTCTTTGGCATCCCTCTGCCAGTACAGCCTATGAAGGTAGGTACACTCCATGGAAGGAATAAGGAATCTTTAAGGATGCTATTGTTCATCTACATTTTAAGCTAAGCTAGTTACTAACTGGCGACAATAGGCTATTGCATCGGCAGCCATTTCAGCGCGAAAAGATGCACCCATGGCCGTCGTTACCGCAGCTGGGCAATGGGTTGGGGCTGCCGTCGGACTCATGAGTGTCACTGGCCTACTGCGCCTTTTCGTTCGAGCAATCCCCATCCCAGTGGTCAAGGGTGTGCAGTTGGGAGCTGGTCTTTCTCTCATCATGGGAGCCGGCACTTCTCTGTTGAAGCCTTTGCACTGGGCCTATCCCATCCTGGATAATCGCATCTGGGCAATCGCCGCATTCCTTGTACTCATCGGCACACATCAGCTGCCTCGCTTCCCTTATGCCTTGTTCTTCTTCTGTGTTGCACTCTTATTCGCGTTCATCCAGGTGTCATTAGTTGGCCAGAGTCTTCCATGGTTCCATATCTGGCAACCAGCATTCACTATGCCAGCGTGGATAGACAAACACAACTCACGTGCGTTGTGGATGGCTATCGGCCAGCTGC